TAGTTGCCGCCACTGCTCACTCCCAGGCCCTCCCTGCAGCCGCTGGCCAGGACAGCCTCCCCTCAGTGCCAGGGTCAGCCCCACGGAGCCTCACGGGCAGAACTGGACAGGGCTGTAGGTGAAACACTCGGGGGCACCATTACTGCTTTTTTTCTTTTGAACTTTTTATTTTGTACTGAGGTGTAGCTGATTAACAATGTTATGATAATTGCAGATGAACAGTGAAGGGACTCAGCCATACATATACATGTACCCGGGCTTCCCCAGTGGGTCAGCGGCAAAGAATCTGCCTGCAGTGCGGGAGCTCCAGGAGTCATGGGTTCCATCTCTGGGTCAGAAAGACCCCTGGAGGAGGGCATGGCAACCCACTCCAGTATTCTTGCCTGGAGAATCCCATGGACAGAGGAGCCTGGTGGGCTATGGTCCATAGGGTATGACTGTAGTGACAGCGTGCACGCCCGCATACATGTATCCATTCTCCCCCAAACCTCCCTCCCATCCAGGCTGAGGGGCATAATTTCTGACCTACTGAGAAAAAGAAGCACTGGACTTATCGTCTCGTGATTCACAAAGATCTTCAACGAGGGAAATCAAAAGAAAATAAAGTGCAATCCTAAGTACGTATCCAAGAGAACCAAAAACATACATCCACAAAAATTCATATGTAAATGTTCAGAGCAGCATTATCCATAAAAGCCAAAGCTTAAGCTTAAATGAAATTGCTCAGTCATGTCCGACTCTCTGTGACCCTACAGACTATAGCCCGCCGAGCTCCTCTGTCCATGGGATTCTGTAGGCAAGAATACTGAAGTGGGCTGCCATTTCCTTCTCCAGAGGATCTTCCCAACCCAGGGATCAAACCTGCGTGTGTCCCACATTGCAGGCAGACTTTTTACCCTCTGAGACACCAGAGAAGCCCTGAAAAATTTGCAATACCATGGACTAAACAGTCCATGGAATTCTCCAGGCCAGAATACTGGAGTGGGTAGCCTTTCCCTTTTCCAGGGAATCTTCCCAACCCAGGGATCTAACCTAGGTCTCCCGCATTGCAGGCAGATTCTTTACCAGCTGAGCTGCAAGGGAAGCCCAAGAATACTGGAGTAGGTAGCTGATCCCTTCTCCAGTGGATCTTCCTAACCCCAGGAATCAAACTGGGGTCTCTGCATTGCAGGTGGATTCTTTATCAATTGAGCTATCAGGGAACCCCAAGAATATTTAATCTTCCTCCTGTAACTTTTTTTTTCAGTTTTAGAATGAAGCGAAGTGAAAATGGCTCAGATGTGTCTGACTCTTTGCAACCCTATGGGCTATATATAGTCCATGGAATTCTCCAGGGCAGAATACTGGAGTGGGTAGCCTTTCCCTTCTCCAGGGGATCTTCCCAACCCAGGGATTGAACCCAGGTCCCCCACATTATAGACGAATTCCTTACAAGCTGTGCCACAAGGGTAGCCCAAGAATACTGCAGTGGGTAGCCTATCCCTTCTCCAGCAGGTCTTCCCGACCCAGGAATTGAACCGGGGTCTCCTGCATTACACGTGGATTCTTTACCAACTGAGCTATCAGGGAAGCCCTAAAAGCCAAAAGGTGGAAACAAACCAAATGTCCATATTGGACAAACAAAATGTAGTTTATCTGTATATACTGATACCCAGAATAGTATCCAGCAATAAACATAAATGAAGTACTGACACCTGTGACAATGTGGCTGAACCTTGAAAACATTATGCTTAGTAAAAGGAGCCAGACACAAAAAGTCACGTATTTTATGACTCCATTTCTCTGAAATGTCAGAAGAGACAGATCCACAGTGACTGAAGTAGCTTTGTGGTTGCCAGGGGCCGAGGGGGATGGAACTATGGTAGTGATTGCTAATGGGTGGAAGGTTTCTTTGGGGGATGATGAAAATGTTCTAAAATTAAGTAGTAGTGATGATTTACTACCTGTGAGTATGGTAAAACCCACTGAATGGTATACTTTTAAAAGTTAATGTTATGATATATGAATTATATCTCAACTTTTAACTAAAAGAACATCAGGAATAGGGTGACATAAAACATTTTTGAGGGACTAAGTCAGGTATAATAGAGGTAGAACTTAGTAAGAAGCTTCATTAGATTTGACATATTCAGGTGTTCTCAAACATGTTAGGTGTGAGATTTCTGGAATTTTTCTCAAAAGCAATACCAATTCAGTTCACCTTGTTACACATCTATTTCCTGTTGTATCCTGATTGCTCTTTTGAAATCCCCAAATTTCAGGAATTTCTCACCCTAAAATATAACCCGTTCCATGTCCTATGACCAGGTTTTCCCTTTCTTTGGGTCGTAGTTTCATATCTTGGTCTTAAACAGGACAAGATGTGAGCTCTGGGCTTGAGCAAACAAAGCAACACATTGTCAGAACTTGCAAGTCATGGGGTCACCAGGAGGAAGGGCAGCTGGAGTGGCTGAGAGACACCCTGACCTTCACTGTGTTTGGAAGCGAGGTTACCATGGAAACAGAAGAGCTTGAGATCTGATTCTCAGAGTGATGGGCCACCTTTGGAAGACTTTGAGGAAGGGAGGGACAGGATCTTGTCCTTCTGGGCTCTGTGTGCTGAGTTGATTTTATGGAGGCCACAAGCCAGGAGGTCATTTCACTGCACCCCAGAAAGACTTGGTCTTTTGAACTCTGAGAAATAAAGTTTCAAGTAGAAGAAGGAAAGCTATTCCCTCAGCAGAGTATAAGGTGCATGAGGGCAGGGACTGCTGTCTGCGCACCCACTGCCCTAGCCCCACGTGATGATGCTTGGCCCGCTGAAGGCGTTCTGTGAATATGTGTCAGTGTAGTCTCTGCCGAAGACAGACCGCCTTGTGTAGAAAGAGGCCTGAGTATCAATCAGTAGTGAAAAAGTAAAGTGAAAGTGTTAGTTGCTCAGTCATGTCCAACTCTTTGTGACTCCATGGACTGTAGCCCTCCAGGCTCCTCTGTCCGTGGAATTCTCCAGGCAAGAATACTGGAGTGGGTAGCCATTCCCTTATCCAGGGGGGGATCTTCCCAACCCAGGGATTGACCCTGGGTCTCCTGCATTGCAAGTAGATTCTTTACTATCTGAGCCACCAGGGAAGCCCCATCAATCAGTAAGCCTGGGTTTAAATCCCAGCTCTGCTATATGTATAACAAGCTGTGTGACCTTAGGCAAAACTTCAAAAAGTTCAAAAAACTTCACCCCTCTAAACCTTGTTCTTCTCATCTATAAAATGAGTCTAATAACGGCTGCCAGATTTTGAGAGATGGAGGGAGGGATGTGTGGGAAAGCGTCTGGCCTGTGGTAAAACAAAGGGCTTGTTTTGCTTTTCCTGAAACAGGAGCCACAAACCCATGTGAAAGTAACAGCAGTAAGGACATTACCAAAGGTATAGCTGCTTTTCACTTAGTCTTGGCCATTGGAAACCGCCAGTGAGCATCTTTGAGTGAAGGATGACAGCCTCATTGGCAGGTGATTTCTCTAGCTGGTGTTACCCCCCCTCTTGCTAGTCAGCGTTTAGAGGATGCTGGACATGGATGGGTTTCGTCCATCAAAGCTGTCCCACCTGCTCCTTTCAGAGCCATGCATCTTGTAATAATTGCCCTTTAGCACCGAAGGCACCAGCTTGTACTATTATTTGCTTTGGTACCAAAGAAGTCAGCAGAATAATGAAAAGAATAATAAGGCTAACCAGAGCTTTGGAGCTCTTACTGAGATCCTTACCCTTTAACCTCGTCATCTTTACCACAGTCCTCTGCAGTGGATACAGAGGTAAGCCCCACCCCCCCTTTGCAGATGGGTTCACTGAGTCTCAACAATACCTTGGTTTGAGTCTTGATCTCTTGGTTCTGCAGCCTGCATCAATGTCACTGTCACTGCTGCTAATCTTTGGAGCAGTTTCCCTCTGCTGCACACTTTGCTGGACCTATTTCACCATGAGCGGGTGGAGTGGGTTCTAGTCTCTGCGTTTAGCACCAATAGATCATGTAAATGTTAAAATTATGGAAATTCTACTTATCAGCTGGGCCTCAGTGGTCCTTGAACTCAAATGAGCATGAGAATCATCGGAGTGCTTGTGAACACATGGATTTCTGGGGTTGGATTCAGTAGGTCGGGGTGGGGCCAGAGAATCTCCATTTCTAACGAGTTCCTAGGTGATGTCGATACTACTGGTCCAGGACTAAACTTCAAAACCATAGAGCTAAAGGGAAGGAGAAGGCGACATATTCTAAGATGGAATAGGTGGCAGGCTGGTCCTCTGCTTCCGTGTGAGTTAGGAAAGACTTCCAGAGACGCTGTTGTTGTTCAGTTGCTAAGTCATGTCCAACTCTTTGTGAGCCCGTGGACTACGACATGCCAGGCTTCCCTGTCCTTCAGTATCTCCTGGAGTTTGCTCAAGTTCATGTCCATTGAGTCAGTGATGCTATCTAACAGTCTCATCCTCTGCCGTCCCCTTCTCCTTTTGCCTTCAATCTTGCCCAGTATCAGGGTCTTTTCCAATGAGTTGGCTCTTTGCACCAGAAGCTTCAGCTTTAGTATTAGTCCTTCCAATGAATATTCAAGGTTGATTTCCTTTAAAATTGATCTGAGTCTCTGAAATCCTTATCCCTTATCGCCCCCTAATTCTAGGGCAGAGAACCACCTCACCAGGGCACCCAGCTGGGCTGAGATATTCATCTTCCAGAAAAAAAAAATGAAGCAAAACAACAGCAATAAAAAAGAGCAGCCCTAAAATCTTTCTTCTTGCCCAAATCCTATTGTTGGAGAGAGGGCATACATGGTCAGCACCTAGAGAATTCCATCCATTGTCCTCCTTTGGCTGGAATGTTAATTTCAGAGTCAGTGCCAGTTAGAAAATTGCAGTGCACAGAATTAAACTGATTCTGCCTCTGTCTTCTGCCATCTTCATAAATTATTCACATCACCCAGTGTTTAATATGCTCCCCACTTCAGCCCTCCCCATGACGGTTCTCCATGCTTTCACTTACAGCTGTGGAACAACTATTTTCATCTGGCAGTGGCGTTTATCACTCAGGATTCTCTACAGCTGGAACAGTTCTCGCACGCCAAATACAACAAAATCCTGAATAAGTAGGTTGCATTTGGAGCTCCTGAAAAGGAGGGGGGAGGTTCGTGAGAATCTCTGAGGTGATGCCTGAAGCAGACATTTTTTTTGTTTCTCCTAGGTACGGGGACATGAGACGGCTAATTGGCTTCTCCATCCGTGATATGTGGTACAAGCTTGGTGAGTAGGCACCGGCATTCAGACAGACACATCTGCACATGCCAGGCTCCTTCTTGAAGACCATCTGTTAGAGGGCCATGGGGGTTTCGGCAGAGGAAGCTTGAAATAATAGTTTATCACTGTACACACCCCAGGTCCTTAATAAGTGCCTGATGAGAGAGGGTGCCCATCCCAACCTCCCACCCCCAAAACAGCTGTGGATCTGCTTCTCCTTGATGCTCATGAGGGGTTAAGAAATCAAACTGGAATTTATAAGAAGGAGAAAGCATGACTGCTGTGGGAATGCATGGCCTCCCCTGCCACGTGTGCTTCCTGCTGATGGGTGCACGTTCTGCAGCCTGCTTCTTATGTGATGTTGTGATCTACTGAAGGCCTTCCAAACACATGGGGGAGAATTGATTCTGTGGTAGATGAGGGTCTCCTGTGATCTGATTTGAGCTGGAAGGTGACCCCAGAAGCTGTCCCTGCTTCAGTGAGCTACAGGAATCCTGGGCAAGCTGAGTGGTACCTATGGGAGGAAGGAAGGGGAGATGGAGTCAGCATTTATTGAGAGTCTGAGTCAGCCCTGTACAAGGAGATTTTATTTAATCTTCCATCACCTCCTGCAAGATGGAAACATTTCCCCCTCATTTTATCGATCAGGGAACTCAGAGGGAAGGAGCTTGCTTGAGATGAAACAGAAGCAAGCCCCAGAGCTTGGTTTTGATTTCACAAGGATGGGGGCTGCATACCTTGCCCAGGGCCTGAATCCTGCTCCATAAATCTGTGCAGAAAGGATGAATGGGTAGACGATGCATAAATAGTCACAAGTAGCGAGCTCTTTTCACCTCCTGTTTTGTGCATCCTCCGTGACTCCGCCGCTGAACTGCTCTGTGCTGTCTTAGATGTGGACTATCTTCAGTAGAGCACTTCCAGGGCTCTGCCTGTCTCTTGGATTCAACCTAAATCACCTCCCCAGACCTCTTGGTGTCTATCATTCCCACCTGACTTCCTGGACAGCACTTGCTCACCCTTCCCAGCAAGGTTCATTCCTTGTCGGGAAAGCAGAGTGGACGTCCACCTGGGTTCTGTGTTTGCTGGCAGCATTGCATTCAGGTCAAGAGCACATGCTGGTAGCAGAGGGTCGTAGACTGGTTCCCAAAATTGAAGGGAGAGCAGGGCATCCGGGCCCAGAACAGACTCCACCTCTGCCGGGGGCTTTGCCTTGTCATTTACACACTGTGAGGCTCAGAGCAGGACCTGAGTGACCCTGGCCCTGCTTGGGGAGACAGCGCCGTCTCCCAGCCTGTCTGCAAGGCTCAGAAGAGCAAACACTGGGAGTGGGAAGCCGTGGAGGCCACACCCATGGAAGAGTTTTGTCATCATTTTCACCCCGTTGCAACAGTATCCTCCTTAGTTGTAACAACCAAAAATATATGCATGTGTGCTAAGTCATTTCACTCATGTCTGACTCTTTATGACCCTGTGGATTGTAGCCCTCCAGGCTCTTCTATCCATGGGATTCTCCAGGCAAAATTACTGGAGTGGGTTGCCATTCCCTTCACCAGGGGAATCTTCCTGACCCAGGGAGCAAACCCAAGTCTCTTGCATTGCAGGCAGATTGTTTACTCTCTGAGCCACCAGGGAAACCCTAGACATTACCAAATATCCTCTGTATGTGTTCATGTGTATATGTGTATGTGTGTGTGTACGAAACTCCCCTCTTTTGCAAGCCACTACCAAAAAGAAATCCCATATCTGCCCTGTTTTTCTAGAACAGCATTTTGTTTCTCTACTTTGGATAATGATAGGGATAAAAGAAATATTTTCTATGTCATTCACCACTACCCTGCCGTAGGAAAAAGGTACACAGTGCAAGTGGTAGCCAGCATCCGGCCTCGGGGGCGGGAGTCTAGGAGGGAGTAGCTGGGGCTGCAGCAGACTGAGGCAGGTGCACCCCAGCTGAAAGCAGCAGTTGCTGTCCTGCCTGGTGAGTGCTGTCCTATTAGGATGCAAGGCTGACATTGTCACAGCTTCTAATTTATCAAAAGAAGCCAGGAAACATAATTTTTAAATGCATTCTTAATTTATGAATATTGATGATAACTAGTTGAAAGTTTTAAAAGCACCAACGTGTCCAGTGAAACAAGGGGCCCAGACTCAGTCTGCAAATGAGTTTGCATTCCCTGCTTTGCAACAGCAAAGACAAGGTAAAGCCCTGCTGGGCTTCCTCTCCCAGATCTACATCCCAAGTGTTGCCAGGATTGCAAAACAGGGATCTGTGCTTTGTTTGTTTCTAGTTCCTCCGCACAGCCTGCGCTTTTCTGAATGTCCTTCATTGCCGTTGTTTTGCACACAGAAGATTTTATTTAGATATAGATTATGTTTTGGCAGGAGCTCCTGTGCTCCCAATTATGCTGATGAATGAAAAGATGTTACCAAATACTCTACCTGCTTAGGATCACAGAACATCAGAACTGGAAGGGCCCTTTAGAGAGCATGTTGTCCAGCATTTTTCAAACATTTATTTTTAGCTGAGGACCAATAAAAAATATATATACCCTGCTCAGTACAGAAATTGGATGAAAGCCAAGCTGTTCTAATTGAAGTGGGATGGGGGGGCAGGTGGAGGGTAGTGGGTAGAGCTACTCTCCTGAGCTCCTATGGAGACCCCTGCAGATTTTCTGGGAGAAACCCTGAAGCACTTCAGAGAATAGTTTGAAGCTACAGGTCTGTCCAACCCACTGTTTTACCAATGAGGAAACTGAGGCACAGAGAGGCAGGGAGTGTGTGTCCAGCATCACAGAGTGGATGAGAGGTGGATTCAAGACAGGGAAGCCTGGCATGCTGTAGTCCATGGAGTTGCAAAGAGTCGGGCGTGGCTGAGCAATGGAACAGCGAACAGCAGCAGGACAAGTACACTGGTGTGTGTCCATCTAGAAGCGTCACAGATCCCTTGCTGTATCCAAGTACCTGGAGGGTGAATTAGTGGAACTCAAAGACATATTTGTTAGGGTTTGGGGGTTGCAAGAAAGAGATGTCGACTATGGCTGCCTTAATTGGCAAAGGTACTAATTGGAGAAGGTACTAATTGGAAGGGCAAGGGAAAATGGGCTATGAAGGGTAGGATTAGAGTCACTCAAGGATCCAGGACAGGTGGTGTGATGTTGCCTTTAGGATGTTCTATCCTTACATCACTCTGCTAAAGGTCCAGTCTCCAGGAGACACCTTTCTATTGTTCTTCCTTGGGTGACCGCTCCATCAGTGCCCCCACCAAGCCTGCATCCATCAAGGGAGGCAGAGTTTCCCAAAATAAAATGTTCACGGAGTTATGGAGAAGTCAAACAAAGACACAGTTGTCCACTGCAGAAAAAACAAAAAGTAAAAAATTCCGTTGCAAGGATGGCCATCTCTTCATCTCTTAGCCTGGACTCCTTGGAAGAGGAAGGTATATTGGCCTGAAGGGTTCTTCCTGCTGCTTGTTAGTAACCTGGCTGCCTTCTCCTTGCCTGTCTGCTTCAGGGATGGGGAGCAGAAAGAGGAGGCAGAGTGAATGGATGGTTCCCCAGTCCCATCCTACTTTGTCTTCTGCCAGATGCTGGCATTAGCAGGCTTTCTCCAGCAAGCTAATGAGGTTAATCTGCTAATCCAAACCAGAACTAAGCACTGTATACCTGGGGGACCAATGCAGTGAGAACTCTACACTGGGTAATGATGAGTTCTAAAGTGCAGTTTGTGAAACATCCAAGACAGAGTGAAACATGGATTACAAGGACATTCCCAAGGTCAACAGCAAATCAGTGACTCAGATGAGACAAAAGAGCCAGACTCGACCTGAAGTCCAGTGTTCTTAGTAATATTTTTTTTCCAGAATATGCAAAATATTTTCAAAGGATGTGAAATAGTAAACTATGTTTTCCAAAGACTACTGATAATGAGTAAATCATAATGCCTGTTAAGTTTTAAAATTTTGTTTTAATGCCCAAAGCAATCAGGGCTTCATCACCATGATCATCAGCATCATCATCTTCTTCTCATCAAGAATGATTTGAGCAGCCCTGTGATTATAAGATAGCTAATTGCAAAGATCATCTCAGACTGGAAGACTATTCAAGGAAAAGTCTAGACAAGTGTGTTTGTGTGTGTGTATGTGTGTGCACGCACTTTTGTGAGAGAAGATGCATGCCAGGAAGCCTTAATAGAGAGAAGGATCCATACCAGGTTCCAGCCACTAAAGGGTTAATGCTATTTGTACGTTTGCATCCTGGGATAATGCCAAATACAATGGACTTTCCCTGATAGTGTAGCATCATAACATTTGATTTCCGCTAGGAGGAAAGCAATGCACATTTTGTGAAAATGACTTTGTACTTAACCGGCCCATATTCGCGGGGGTTAATGCTGGTCTGCTATGTTAACAGTCTTCATGGGAGAGAAAGATAAATTCGAGTGGCTGGCATCATGGCCTTACATGTGGGGAGGTTGCTCCCGGCAGAGCTGTGAGAGCAACTGAACCGTCACTTTTTCAGCATCTATGGAGGGCCCAGCCCACTACTAAGCACCAGGGAAGGATAAGAGAGTTGGGGACATATAAGGCATGGTCCCTGCCCTCCCTGGAAAAGCCCACCATGAGCTCTTAACATAGGACAAACTGAGAGTCTGAAGAACGAACTAAGCACGTTCCTTAGTGTGAAATGTGTGGTCAAGACTCGGGAGCTCAGGCAAAGAGGAGGAAGGCTCTACTGAGTCAACGGCTCTTGAATTAGACCCCAGGGTGGTCAGAGCTGAAAGGGCAGCAACCATGCCAAGTGAACAACCAGCCTAAGCAAACATGACTTCCTTAAATTGGGGAGAAGCTGCTGGGCAGAAATAGGAAATGGGATTAGAAAGGCATCCATCCATCCACCCACCCATCCATCCATCCAACCAAATATCCATTTATTCATTTAATAACAAATATTGAGCACTGTGATAGGCAGAATAATAGCCCACCAAAGGTGTCCAAGTCCTAACTCCCAGCA